GGTTTAATAGAATAAGATAGAAGGGGAGGGAAGTGGTGAAAATTCCTCTTTATTTGGTTAGCAAAAATTTTGAAATGGAGGAGGCTTGGCCAAATAAGAAGAGAGGAACCACCCATCTCCTTTATTTTTTTAAAATTAAACATATAATAAGTAGTTGATAAATTTAAGGATAATGATAGGTTTACTCTCATTATCCTCATTATCCACACACTCCATTACACCCTTCAATTTCCGTTACTTTTCGTTAATTACACTTTAACTCCATTACCATCTTCCCCTTCTCTCCTACTTACTGTTTATTGTCATCACCAACCAAACCAAAACCTGCAATTTCATCTTGGTTCTTTGATTTTCAACCTTCTTTTCCCTCATCCTCCTTTCTTTTTCTTCTTCTTTCCCTCTCCTCCCCTCTATTTCCTTCTCCCAAATCTAGGTTCTCCAAGAGAACCCCTTGGGTTCTTGGAAAGAGAACCCAGATTTGGATTCTCCATAAGAACCCACAGGTTCTCCTAGAGGAGGATGATGGAGGAGAGAGAGAGAGAGAGAGAGAGAGAGAGAGAAAAGAGGAAGAAAGAAAGAAAGAGGGAAGAAGATAATGGATGAAGAGGATGTTGATGGAGGTCAAGATGGATCTAGCTGGTGAGGACGCTAAACAGCCAAGAGGAGAAAGGAAAGATGGTAACGAAATTTAGGTGTAATTAATAAAAAGTAACGAAAATTAAGGGTGTAACAGAGTGTATAAATAATGAGGGTAAACCTATCATTATCCTAAATTTAAACTTAATTTTTTATATGAATTAATTATAAAAAACTATAATTAATACACATTAAGGCACAAGTTAGAAAGATCATTTAAATATTATAATATTTGTGAAATTATAAGAATATTTTAATCTTTTCATTATCATTATCAAAATTTTAATTATTAAGTTGTTATGATTTTTCTCAATCCTTTATTTTAATTGTACTCCCACATTTATATATCAAAAAAACTTTGTGCGGACTACACCTTGCAAACTATACTACAGTAGTATTCTCTTAAAAATTTGTTTGACTTGTATTTTAAAGGTATAGAATAAACTTACATTAATTGTACGTTTTAACATTTAATCTCTATTTAAAATCACAAATATTGATTTTATTTTATCAAAAATTTTACATAGATATTTTTAATTGAATGATTGATAAAATTAAAGTTACTTTTTAACTTTTCAATATAAATTAGTTATAAAAAAAAAATATCAACTGATACATTCTTAACCTATGCTTACCCTTCTCTTAATATATTTTGATTCATATTAAAAACATGTGAATCAACCAGCCCTCATTCTTCATCAGTGAACTTATTCAACTTACTGATGATAGATTATTTTCATAAAGCTTAGAGAGCAAATCTTCCTTATGTTTTGCTTCAGGGTAACGTTAAGATTTAGATGGCTTAATTTAATTATTGATATATTAACTATTAGTTTAATTTCATTTTAATCTAAAAAGTTAGTTTTCTTTTTAAATAACCTATAAATTTTATAAAATATTTTAAAATAGTCTATTGTACAAATCTTTCATTAGTTTTATTAGAAAAATAATAAAAATGTTAAATCAAAATTAAAATAAAGTAATCCCAAACAGCAAAGCTATCAACAACAAACTGTGTAAA